TTTCACAAGCAAGAAACTAACAATGATAAACAGCACATACAATTAAAAGAAGCAGGGCTGAGTTTACCCAGAGAGATTTACCCAAGATATAAGATTAGAAAAAAGAATAAAAGCTAGAATGTGTGATTTTAGTCACCCAAAATTCCCATATATACCTGTGACAAAGCAGATAAATTTAAATAAGTTACTCTAAAAATGGATGGGCAAACATTACTTTTTCAAAAGGCAGATATCCAAATCCTCTGCCCCTAACATGTATTTACCATAATTGTTGTTCTCTTATAGGAAGACAGTCTCTTAAAGAAAATACCAATTTAAAAAAAAAAAAAGTTTTATCTAATTTTTGAGCTAGTTTTACATTTCACTTAATTCAAGCATTTTATCTGTTCATAATAGAAGAATATTCTACAAGTAAAAAATTCACAAAGGCACACTCAATATTTTGTTTTTTCCTCCCACTGCTAACAAGTTCCACCTAAGTAATAACAGAAAAAAACACTTAATTATGGTTTGGTTTTGGAAAAGAAGTATCCCGCCCAGTATTTCATGGGTATAGTTTCTTCACATCAAAAAAACCTACAGAAATAGGGTATTTTTGCTGGAAATTTCTTTCATGCTAAAAAAAGCCAAAGGAATGGGTCTGTCCCCCTTTTAAAGAAAAAGTTCAGTTTTGTTCTGTTTGTCAAGGCTGCAGACAGATGGAGCTTTAGCTTGAGCTTAAGCTAACTTAGCAGGGTGAGGGAAACTGTGGCACATTGCTTTGAGCAAATTGCTTCGTAAGACAGGTAAGGCTGTGAGAAGATAACAAAAGTTACAAACCACACCATGAAGGATGTTCAGATTCCAAAAATGCCAAAATTAGTTACAGAATCATGTAATAGTTTGCGTTGGAAGGGATCTTTAAATGTCATCTAGTCCAACATCCCCCTGCAATAAGCAGGAGCATCTTCAGCTAGGTCAGGTTGCTCACAGACCCCTCCAACCTGACCTTGAATGTTTCCAGGGATGGGGCATCAATCACCTATTTGGGCAACTTGTTCCAGTGTGTCACCAAACAAGCAAAGTTAACTTCACAGTTAACCAAACAGGTAACAGAGGTTTTGGAACCTTTTAGGGAGGTACCAAGTCAGGAGGACTTAGTAACTGTATCTAGAACACTATATAAGGCCAAGATTGCATATGTAACAGCAGGAGAAATACCAGATTTGGCATGGATTTAGCAAGACTAGGTCCAGTGGAGTCAGACCAACTAAAGGCAGGTTGTTTATGTAAGAAAGGATTAGGACAGAGGAAGGGAGAACAAAGGTGACAAAAGAGAGTGATAATAAGGCATGCAAATAATGTAGTGGAAGCTGCTCAGGGTACCTGTTGAGCAGCCCTACACATGACCACTGCCATTCTGGAGGACAATAAATCAAACCTGCTATTCTGACCACACTAGGCTGATTCTGTAGCACAGAAGAGTAGGGTAAGAGGTCCTTTCCCTGCCTAACAAGGTAACACCCAGGTTAGACTAATCATGCATTCCAACAGGATGTGTTAGTGCCCATTACAAATGGCACTGATCTGTTCCTAATATACACTTTCCATTGCACTTCAATACAAAATCAAAACTGCTTCTCCATGTGGACCTCAGCAATCAGTATGTATCATTGCAATGATACTTGCCTCAGTTAGGATAGTGATTTTACTAATTTTTGGCTAAGCCTAAAAATTACTTCAACTTTGAAACTAACAAAACTAAAAAGAACAACAACAATAAGTTTCTGGACTGACTACAAACAGCATCTTCAGTTTTCTGTATTAAACATATTTACAATATAAGTAAACAAAAATGCAGACTTCAGTGCATGGTTGAAAAAAAGCAGCGAAAAACAGAGGAACCATGCTGAAAATAATGCATAAACGAACTGTATGCCATGTGTCTCCTTACCCTTTTTCTCATGCTCCTGAAGAATCACTATTTTTGCAAGAATAACTCAGGTGGTGCCAACACAAATTCCATCTACTTGAGCAGCTGGGTTTAACTTTGCTCTGCTTTGTGTGGGAGATGCAATGATTGTCCATACCTTCAGAGGTTCTTATATACTCCATACTTATCTGAGTCTGCACTCTCCTTTCTTTAAGAGTAAATGAAATGCTGCTACACACCAAACTCAGCAATACAGGCCATAGGATTAGTGCCTATAAATCACCACTGGCATGGTCAGCCCTACACAGGAGTCAGGAATGCAGAAACTGCAACATGAACTTGGCAGCTGTGTTTTAACAAGCGCTACTTTGCACACACAGCTTTGCTGTTAACAGAATAATCTCAGATGATGTCTACATAGGCTGCAACTAGTCTTGTAAATGAGCTGTAGACATGCCCTAAATTACTGTTCAAACCAAAGCCTCAAAAAGGGACACAATTCAAATTGCAGTAAATAAAGTTGAATTCAGTTAGACAGGCACCATTTCTGACAATCAATATCAGAGAATAATTTTTTCATATTCCTGCTCACTCTGAAAATCTAATTTTGGCCAATAACAAAGACAACAAAGAATGTACTAGAATCATGTAACAGTATGGACCTACTTTAAAATGCATTCTAAAACACATTCTAAGTTTTTAGGAAAATTATCTTAGTTGAAAACAACTAGATGTTTTACTTTCACATAGTTTATTCTGAAAATGAAAAGGATAAGCTAAATTAAACACATTCTTATATGAAAATAAGCAGCTAGTAAAAGCTTCCACTGTTTTATATAAATTAGTTAAAACAAAACCACAAAAATAGAAAGCAACATATTACAACTTGTTGCCAATTAGCAACACAGTACACTGAGATGGTGAGTATACACTGTGAACGTACAGTCTTGAAAATCACTGTTTTCAAGGAAGTTCTAGAGCTTCTTCTCTCACATAGAGAAGATGGCAAACACAATTTTAGAGTGGAAGACTGAAAGTTGTTTGCCACATTAACTCTGTCACAATGTGCATTCTTACACTAAAAATAAAGTTAATGCTGTATATAGAACAGAAGACGCTGCGTTGTTTTGAGGATCTAATTATTTTACTTTTTTGCTTGTTTGTTTTCGCCTGCCTGGCATCTTATGTTACAAAATACATATATATACACAATTACAGAGCTTCCTCTGGTAGGAAAGGCCTTAATTTTCATTAAGAAAGCTAAACCAAATTTAACTTCAGATGCTTTATTAAGACATGGAGATTTAACATTTTCTTAATTACCTACAAAACTCTTTAATTAAATAACTTTGACACCACGTTTGCTATTGGAACAGAAAAAATGAATTAAATCGAACATATTTCACAGCTTCTCTACATAAGATAATTTTATTTTCTAGACAAATGTCTTGCTGTGTCTTACATTCTACTTTGAGAAGCACAATTTAGCAATAAGATGGTATGAGCGAACATGTAAAATGCTCAGAAATTTCTTATTTATTTTACATGTTTTTTAGAAAAAGTTGAAAGCTTTGAAAATGGTAACTACTTGAATGTAAGTTTGATGAACATTTCTACTTACATCTTCAGCTTTTGAACCTTGATCCTGCAAAGATTTTTGCAGCTCTTCAACCTGGGACTGCACTTCAAGAAGTCTCTGATTTACCAGTCTAGGAAAGAGATTTTATATTGTTTTTACAGGAAAAAAACCACAACAACTTTCAGGTCATCTACATAAGATATTTTATTCACATAAAATTTACAACAGTAGATAAAACATACAGTATTTCCAGAGATTATAGCTTGTAGTCATCCAGAACATTCTGATACTCATCCAAAACAACATAAATGCATGTATTAATAATTTCTCTACACGTGGAACAGAGTATCTAACAGTCAGTTTTACTATATGAGAGCTACTAGCTTACTGCTTTTACACAGCCATAGATTCCTACAAACCTGTGGCTCGGAAGGGATCTCGGGAGGTTGCCTAAATCCAACCTCCTCCTTAAAGCAGGTACACTTACAACAGATTGCTTGGGAGCCACATCCTGTAGAGATGTGGACATCTTTAAGTATGGATGTCCGACAAACACTTTGTGCCTTTTTTCTAGAGCCCAGAAATTACCCCAAGAATGTTTTTTTCCCTTGCATTTAGTCAGAATTTCACCATTTTCCATATTACGTCTGCTGCCCTTTGTCCTTCCACTGTCAATCTCTAAGATGCATGTGGCTCTGTCTTCTTAACACCTTTCAATCAGATAGATGTGGATCACAGTATTATCTCCTCTATGCCACCTTTTTCCTTGGCCTGAACAAAGCCAGATCTCACATTTTTCTTGTACTGGGGAATCCAAACTTGAATGCTATGTCCAGTATGTTCTTACATTTAGATGAAATTTAATGTGTTTCAATTTCTGCCATGTTTCTGGGCATCACTGAGCAGACTGTAGCTCCACCTCCTTTAGACATCCCATCCAATATTTATAAAAACTGACAAGACCTGCCCTGTGCCTTCTCTTTTCTGGGCTACACAGTCTCTTTCC